TCTTTCAAAACTGTGTATAAAAAAGGGGATGCGCATTATAGGCCGGTGCGTCTTATACGTCGGCAAATACGGTATTTGTTCATTATTTATTACTGGAAATTTTGGTTGGTATATGTCAAGGATCTCGAACGATTAATGACGGATATCGTGGTATCAGTATATTTGCCTGTTTAAAATATTTCAGTATTTGTTATTTGGGTTGGATCAAGTAGAATAAATTCCACTACCAATTACTGTATGGATATCAAAGCAAAAGGATGAAAATTTTAAGTCATGGCCATATTTTTATTGTATTATTATTATTTAATAAATTTAATATATACTTCGCCTGAGTAAGCTATAGAATACTACTCGGAAAATTGTTTCTGCAGGAAAAGAATCAAATTCATATAGAACAGAATTTTAGGTTTTATTTGAAATATTATGTTTCTCCTGTTTTCTGAGGACTATTTTTTATTACTCTGAACTATATTTTCATATCGATGGAAACAACAAAGCATAGCAAACCTCTCTAGAGCAACTTAAATATTTAATATATAGAATTATTATTTATATTTTTAACTTTATTTTATTTTATATTTTTATTTTGGAAGATTTTCAATAACATTATGATAATAAAGGAAAACAAAAATTTAGGATCAGATGAAATGTAACATTTTCTCAAGATTTTTAAAGATAAAAAAAATTAAATACAAACTGCTATGTTATTCTGTTTTTATGCATTAATTATTAAATTACAGATTGTGGCCGCAACATCTCTGAGCTCACGGAGGGCGTTCTGGCAAGCCCTGGCTTTCCCGGCTCTTATTTACCCAGTCTTCAAGTGTGCAATTGGTTTATCACCGTCCGACCCCATCATAAAATTCTCCTTTCATTTCTGTTCTTCCTCATCGAAGGGGACCCGGAACGTAAGTGCCAGATAAATATACATAGAATTAAGTGTTTATAAGCAAGCGAGACAAATTCCGATTTTAAATGTTGTTTTTTTGAGGCAATCTTAAATCTATTGGTTGTTAAGTCAGAAAGGAATATAAAAAGATGAATGTAATAGCGGGGTATAATATTTCTAAGCAGCAAAAGAAGATGGTGAAACGTATTACCAAAAATGGAAAACTGACTTGATAACTAATAATATTACATTAGCTTCGAATGATAAAATGTATAATAAGGGAACTTTAACCCAAGAAAAGTACACATTTCAACCCAAAAATAAATAAATAAAATTATATTGCATCCAAATTGGCGTTTTTTCAATGTTTTGCGTGTTACCTTTATTTATTAAATATCATATTTTTCGCACTTAAACTATAAAATTAATTTCAACAGCAAAATCGCAAAATATTTATAAACAGCATATATTTAGAATTTCCAGTACACAGTCTCGAGCGCTGGAATATTTTTTTTTTTTTTTTTCTTTTCGTAAAGTATTACCATTGCTCGCTTTAAAATCGTTGAGTTTGCTAATCAAAAATTCGTTAAAGTTATACAAAATATGAAATAAATAATGAAACAAATTCTAAAGATGGGCCTTTCAGATATCTGGGCTTCCTATATTCGAGTGGCGGACTATGTTATTCGAAATTTGATGCCTCTATGTACGTTGTTTTTTGGCAGTGCGAGAAACATACATGCAGGCAGCAGGCATTCAGATTCATCATTATTTAATTTCTTTAAGTATAATGCAGGGCTGTAATATTTGGTGGCAACACTTTGGAAAGTTAAACGCCGTTTATAGTGAACTAACGCAAAATGACGAAACAAAATTAAAATCCCTTCTGGGTTAACACCGTTTGAGCTAAAAATTGGAACAGTTTTGTGCATCCTGTTATGCTGGGCCGATAATAGATATCTTGTAATTTAGATTTAAAGTGAATAAATGCAGTTGACTGCTGTGTTAGCTGTCACTGTAATTCTACTCTCTTTTGCTTTTCAGAAATCTCGAGAAAACAGAAATTACCAGAACATTCTTGTGCACGATTAAAAACTTTAAAATGCCGGAGAGAAATATTTAAGTTCAGTTGTTTACTTTGCTGTTGATTGTAGCAAATTCGCGGTGAAATCGCATTAGCTTTCTCAGCGCCTTGGATTGCGTTCTATTTAACGTTTTAGCAGTTTAAAATGTAACTTCTGTGTGATATTCTATGATAGTTTGATATTGTACAAATATATGTAAGGAAAAATCTAGCATTTTCTCATATTTCTTGTGATATGTTAATACATTTTATTCACTTTTTATCGGATTTGTGCATTCAAACTCTTACGAACCCATACACACGCAACAATATTATTAAAGAATGCTTCAGTATGAGCATTTACTTCACTTTGAGATGCCTTCTATGTTTGATAAAGATTCTTTTATTTCTTACGGCTCTTACTCAATTTTGGTTATACACAGTTAATTTTATGTTCCAAGAGATGACTATGGATGCATTTATTACTTTTATTTAACTCTAAGTATTAGATACATAATTGAGTGTGTGTATGTATGTATATATATAAAAATTTAACAAATTTTAAACTTCATAATGTATAATTTTTTATAATTTAATATACTTTTAATTATTTTAATTTAACTTTACTATTTATTCTTTCAAACTATACATATATAAAACATATATAACATATTGAATGAATATATATATATATATATATATATATATATATATCTATGTATCCTTTCCTCTTCTGTACAAATATAAAAGGAAAGTCCACATTCGGTAATGCTTTAAGGTACATTGATACTGCAAATCCAAAGCAAAATGTTACCCAAGTATAAAGCAATAATACAATACTAAGCGGTAAAGGTTAACGCGAAAAAACCTACTGTAATAACCAGAATATAAACTTTAAAAACAAAAAGGGATATATATATATATATATATATATACATTATGAGTAATTTAAATACCTAAATCTTGTGCTAAAGCAGCTATAATTTAAAAAAACAATAATTTATTATTCGAAAGGTATTTATATATTATCTCCAAGCAAAAGATATTTAATTAATGCTATGAATTATTAGAAAATTTTAGTAAGTATTTTAAGTAGCTTTCCAAGTCAGTATCCAAAGTTATCTAGATCTATTATAGCAAAAATTATTTAAAATAAATAATAAAATTTCTTTGAGAGTAAAAATTCCAAACATTAAAGTCAAATTCAAAGTACTGAAAACGTAGCTATTGCTATTGATCGCAGATTAATTGACTTGTCAAGGGGAACAAATCAATCTATTATTAATTAAAAATAATCAAATTAAGTGAGAGTATTTCGTCTTTTTTCAAACAAGGATCAAATAAGTAATTCTGTTAGAATTAGTTTGCAAGTTAAGAACAACACTCAATTATTAGAAAGATATTGGCCAACTGGAGCCCAGAAAGTGTTTATCATAAATAAATTCTAAAATAAAAATCAGTAAGAAATTCTTATAATTTAACGTATACATTAAGAACTCAATTAGACAATATTTTTTTCTAAAATAAGGATATTTTGATCTCGCAGATGCCTATACAATTACTTAATGAATGTGTTTCGAATATGTTTTCTTCTGTTTAAATCAACCTTAAAGAAAATCTTGTTTCCGACATTACATCTTGTTAATATGCGAGGACATGTGTCTAAAAATGTAAATAAATAAAGTATGCAAATATAAATAAAAAATAAAATTTGCAGTAATATGGGAAGTTTAACTCTGTTATTTTCCCCCAAAATAGTGTTATATAAAAATCTAACCTTTTATGATGATTAATGCTATTCCAAAGGTGTTCTTAAATGCTCTACTTCTATTCTACGATCATCTAATAAGTAATTTTTATAACACTCAGTCTGTAGAGCTTAATTCTAATTTTACGACTGAAATAAAATTTCAAACTGTTATTGTTATCTATTGAAAGCCTTGAGCAATTGACTTGATATAAAGAAAAACAACAAATATCTTATATTGCCTTATCTCACATTTATGCTTAGAAGCTGAAACAAATGCAAAATTTAAAATATCTCATTGCCCTCAATGCCACATTTCGAACGTAAAGATTCTCTGTCATTTCTTTTTTACTTAGTGAACCACATTTCTATTTTTAAACCACAAGCACGTTTATTTAAATTACATCTTTAAATATAATGTTATAAAAACAACATCTATGTGTTTGGAGTAGATTTAGCCAATATCTCGATCGGTTTCGAGGATAAGCACGTGCGGATTCCTCTTCATCAGGAACAAAGAAATCTGGAAGACAGAAAAACAAGACAAATATTGCAGATCTCTTTGACTAAATCTATGCCACTACATGATTGTTACTTTGCTAATTTTATGTTTGACTTTGGTGTGTTTGCCTTCTTTAAATATATCTGTAGTAGGTTTTGATATATGCTACTTTAATCAAGTTCCATCTCTGTTGCTGCATGTTTGCATAATATCAAAATGTATCGATGCATAATTTACATGGCGTCATTAAAAGAATGTTTGGGTAACTAGTGTATATTGCTTTAACTCTGAATAAAAATTAATATGAAATTGATTTTTGATTCGTAGGCCGTGGATGCCCTGGAGCCGTGGTAAGAGTGTATCCAGAGCTCGGTGAACCTCCAATGGAACTGTGTGGTGAATCCCTTGCCAATCATAGTAGAGAAATTCTTTCATCTTCCAACATTATGAAAATATCGTTAGTAGATTTCTAATTGTTAGTCTAGTTAGTAGTTTCAATTAGACCGCTAGTAGATTTTCTATATATTAATCTAAATATTAGCTCCCATAATTGCACATTATTGCTGCATTGTCAGCTAAACACAATTAAAAATGTGTTCAACTGACAAAGCAGTAGGTATTAATTGTATCCATATTATTATTGTATTTTTAGTAATTTATGAAATTTGCCTGCAATAATTAATACAATTAATTATTGCAGGCAAAGTTCATAAATACGATTGTTTAATTAAATACGATTTCTTCTAAGGCCTAATTCGCGTGCTTTTATATGATCAAGTTAACCAATAACCAAAATAACCATTTGGCTTAAAATATATTCCTGCTCAAAAAATGACTAACATAGGCAAGATACGAAATAATAAAAAAACTAACAAATTTAACACATATGCATGAAAGTGATCCAAGAAGTTGGTGTGGCGTTATTAGACCACATAGAAAACAAGATGTGTGGACAAAGACATGCAAAAACACATGTATTAGGACCAAATGAGAAACCCATTGCAAAAGACCAAATGAGTCGGAAGAATGTGCAATGCAAGCATCACGCTAATAACGGGTATAGCTTAATTTGGGTCCTGAGTCGAGAACGCATAGTGTCGTTGATCACTTCTTGTATCGTTGGTCGCTTGTTGTGGCAGCAGCGGCCATTGCTGTGGTAATGCATGTCGGAGCTCGTGAAGGGTGAATTGTGGCACACTGCGACCTGTACCCATCGTTACAATATGTCCCACAACATCTTGTATGGGATTCACGTCCAGTAATCTAGCAGGCCACGGCAGATGTAGAATGTTTTCATTGTCTTAATATCTCGGCATTACTTGCTCTGTGAGCGAATAACTGTTATCGTTCATAAATATCGCTTAGGCACCCATTGTAGGAATAAAAGAACGCACAAGAAGGTGTAGAACTTTGTCGCAATATCGGACGGCTGTAACGGAACCACCAGGAATCACGTAGAGGTCGGTGCGACCGTTCATTGCTATCCCACCATATACAAGCAAGCCTTCTCTTCTGCAATGGTCTCTTTCGTCGATATTTGGTCCCCGATAGCATGTCCCTAGTTCTAGCCATACCATACATTTCGGGAATCGTTCTAGATATTAAATCGAGACTCATCCATGAATAGTACGCGGCTGTATTGCTCTGGTGCCCAACTGCGATGTTCACGGAGCCAATTCATCCACGTTCTGACATGTAACAGGGACAAAAGAAAGCAAACCATAGGTCATCGGGCGTGTATTCCAGCTTCCGTTTGGCAGGATATGGGCCGTCCAGCAGCTGCAGGAGATGCTACGCCAGCTTCATGATATACAGCGTCTTGCGCATAACAGGAGGATGCGATCGACTGCCGTTGTGGTAATCATCCGGTGTTCAGACCCATGTCTTCTGCAGCGGTATTGATTCCTTTGGTACGATTCGGCGGCTGTTGATGACACTACGATGCAGATCCAGCTCTCTCGCAACAGCGGATTGTCTTACACAACTTGTAACATCCCATCAGCCCTCCAACGTATTTCATCGTGTAAATGGTGTCTTCGATACATGTTTCCGCTGCGACTATCTCGGATATTAATCTCGGATCTCGGATTACATACGTCAGTTCACATCGCTCCTTGTGAACTGACGCATAGGTCCGGCATTCCCCTTTTTAAGGCGGGGTGTGACAGCGGGATTGCGTTTTATGCTAATTTAGGTTGCCTGTTTGGATTCGACTTCATATTAAATTATACGTTTCAATTCCCCTTTTTATATTCTTATTTTTTTCTTTTAGCATTGTTGCTTATTTTTTGAAGGCAAGTTATTTATAATGTCTTCCTCAATTTAATTTCAGATGTATAATTTAAGTAAATACTAACTAAGCAGTCTCACGAAAATTCGTTGCATAAGTAATATAATGTATGCTATAGCTTTCACAATGTCACATAGAATGATTATGCTTTCTACGAAAATATCTCTAACAAACAGTTCGAAACAAATACTGGTTCTCCAGGCACCTAGGTCACTGAAGCAAGAAATATTATGCAGAATATCTCAGCTAGAATTAAACTTTTCTAGTGCAATATTTTATTATTGTTAGGGGCCATTCTTAGGTTTACAGCTCTGTAAAGTGTATCTCAAAGCCCATATTTAACGTCATGAATTCGCAGAGGATTTTGTATCTTGACTGCACATTTTGTAATACCAGAATTGTTTCTTACGTTTTCCAGAGAGCTGAATTGCATTTGAGTTCTGGATTTTATTTCGAAGATGCTTTTCCTTCTCTTCTTCCTCCAAACAGAGTTAGATCTAACTGCTCATTTTAAACAGTTTGCCCCACCTAGCATCACCTGTTTACAAAAATTAATAATTATTTTTGTCAGTAATTAATTTCACGCAAAATTATTGTACACGCATCAGTAAAGATTTTTATCTTTACTATAATTTTATTTAAGACTTGTAAGGATCTTAAGTTTTACTAACGTTTATTTTATTTTAAATCTTTACTATCACTTCTTATTTTCTACTTCCGGCCAGAATTATAAGCGTGAAGGAGTTTATGCAAAGTTGTCTGGCGAACGCCAAGTATTTAAGTGTGGCCTTTTTGCCAAGCAGAAGAGAGGAAGCCGTGAGTTCGAAGCAGGCCGCTTACCTTAGAAGTTACGCAGTTGCTACTTTGCCTTCCAGGCCAGAGGTTTTAATCCTCTTGATAAATTAAACGTATTGTAGTGTTCACAGTCTCTGTGCTACATACGCTTCCTGTTATTATAAGGCCAATCTTATTCTAAAGTTAAATTAGAGTTTAGTTTTATTTTGATATCTTTTAAGTTAGACCCCGAGTGGAGGGTCATTGTATTCCGAAGTACGGAAGTCATTGTATATAAAGAAAAAAATAAAGGGTTTTGTATACCCTTCGTCTGTATCCTGTCTACTTACTACAATTAGTGAAACATAGCTTTAGTAAGCTCTCTGTTCTAGTCAGGTCATTGTATGTTTCCGAAGAAGGTAAGAAGAAACATTGAACCTGATAGACTATAGTAGTGTTTTAAAATAAAACGAGAATGGGCGTTAACATTTTAATTTCGAGCAATATCTGATTCTTTTTTTTCTTTGATTTTCTTTGGCTCTGAATACTTAAGTTGTTTGTTTTCCGGCAAAAGTAACGTCTATGTAAATAAGATCGTCATCTCTTTATCACGATTGTAAATGTCAAACCGATGCCCCGTTTCCAGGCATGAATTCTTCACTCTGTATTGCTTAAAAGCAAAACTATGTTATTTGACCTTCATCATTTACAAAGATTCTATAAAATTATCTTAAATAATTTATACAATCATACATTATGAAATTATGAACGATCACCATTACTTTTAATACATTGCCCTGGAATTCTCGGCATTTTGGTGTTTATAATTTTTTTAATATATATAGTTAGAGACTGCCGTTATTAAGCTGACGCCTTCTTTAGAGAAAGCACTAGATTTTTATATGTATATTCACTGCTAAAAAATAAAGCATTTCAAATAAAAGCAAATATCAAACGAGTTTGATGTTCAGTGGGGCTTCAAAACATTATAAAGCTATTACATTTCTTTAAAAAAAATTATGTGTTTTTTATATTTTAATAAAAAATTATTTTTTAAAATTATTTTTAGTCTTTCTTTAATTACAAATTACTTTGCTAATTTATACTAATTATTCTAGATTTGTAACTGCAGATAAAGCAGTTGGTGCCAAAGGTTTTCAAGCCACGTGGACTGAAATCAAAGAAGGTAAATAAGGTTTATTTGAGAATCTGGAGTAAATTCTGAATGTTTACCTAAATTCAAGAGTCATTTTAATGCTTTGTTATTTAAACATAAGCAATTATGGAATTTGTTATCACGCTAAAGCTCTAATTAATGTTATGCTCACATCGAAATTCACTATCTCTCATTTTCGATTCAGTTTTCCTTCATTGATTTCAATTCAGGTTTGACAATTTTTAAATACTAAAATAAATTTGAAAAAAAAAAACTTTTAGTAAGAATGAGATGAAAAATGAAAACAATCAAAAATATCCTAATAATAAAAAAAAATAAACTGTGGGAAAATTTTACATTTAAAACAGCAAAGAACAGCGTGATTTAGAAAGCCAAAAGAAATCCTAGTCCGTTTCAAGAAACAAACATGCTCATTCGTGGTTGAGGATATTATTAGCAAGAATCTGATTGGCGATCATGATTGTATTCGTTCGCCGTCGTGAAAACCAATCTTGTGACGCGGTTTTTATGTCAAGGCCAGTTCGTACATACTCAGACTTTCAGCCTCGTGACATCAATGGTAAACTGCCGCATGTAAAAGTAATATGTATCGATAAATTAATATTCAATTTTTAAGAATCATGCGACGGATAACAATGTGGAAACATGGTTTTTAATCATTAATATGTGAACATATTTGACGAAATCGAGTTTAGTTCACCGAAGTTTTAACATAGTCAGTTGCATATTTTCCATTAATACTGTGAGTTAAATTATGTAAATAAGGATATTAAAATACGAATCATTTAATTCAAAACTAATTTTACAAAAACACAAAATTATCCAACATTCAAAGAGGGCAGATATATATTGACATTTTTCACTTTTAACGAATCCATCAGCTTATGAATGCATATATGTCATATAAATCCGACGCCAGGCACTTAGTCGATGAATATACGCTTACCCGGAATGCAAGAGAGAAATATAGAAAGAATTTTGAGGAAGATTTTTAAAAGGAACTATTCAAAGATTTGCAGAGACAATAATGAAAATTATAAATACGAACAGAGATAGAAATGGAATTCGGCACTAAGACTCATATTTTGGACTTTTTTGCTTTTAGTCCAAAGGGACTTTGTCCCTCAAGGACTATTGTTTTCATTTTGTGTTGACTCACTATAAATGTCCGTTTCACTTTTCAAACTGTTGCCACCAAATGTTAGAGTCCTGCATTATATTTGAAGAAATTAAATAATAAAAAATCTGCATAAATGTATGTATATTTCTCGCATTGTGATAAAACAGCGGTACATAGAGCCATCGAATTTTGAATGACGTAATCCTGCTGCGAATATGGGCATGCGGAAGCCCAAATTTGAAATTTGGAATTTGTTTTATTATTCATGTTTTATAAACCTTTAACGAATTTTTGAGTAACAAACTCAACGATTTGAAAGAGAGCAATGCACAGCAACCTACGGGGGGGAGAACCTTTTTATCTCCAGCGCGCGGAACTGTGTATCGGAAATTCTAAAGATAGGCTCATTTTAAAATTATTTTGCGACATTGCTATTGAACTAAATTTTATGGTTTGAGTGAAACGAACATGATATTTAATAAATAAAGGTAACACACAAAACGTTCAAAAAAAAAAAAAAAAAAAAACGCCCCTTTGGATGTAATTTAAAATCTGAAACTTTTCAGATTTTTTTTTTCCTTATATATTTTTTTTCCTCTGACCAGTTCCATTTTTTATCATGCCGCTTGTGCCGGCTAGGAAGATCGGGCTGGGCCTCGATCTTTCTAGCCGGATCATAATGTCATAGCCGGGTCATAATGGCTTCCTAGCCGGATTATAATGTCATATAAAGTATTGCTTTTTTAAAGTTTATTAATATATTTGTTGTTTGAAGACATATGGATTTTATCCAAAAGGCAGTTATTTAATTTTTGTACACATCACTCTAATTACATTTATGAATTACTGTAATCGAGAAAAATTTCAGGTGTCATATTTTAACGAAAATAGCCATTTTGACGGTTTCAAATCCCTTTGGACTGTTTTTTTTTTATTTTTTTTATTTTGTCACGTCTGTACGTACGAACAGAACAAAAAACTCGTTTATCCAAATGTAAGGCTCACCAGCGGCCGTTCGGTCGCTAAATATTGGTACTTCCAACATGGGTTCGATTATAAACGATTCCCCTCATGTGAAGCCTTTATACGAGCCAATTTACTTTAGAAAGTCCTTCCCGAAGGCATTCCCTTTCTTAGGCAGATAGCACTAGTGTGCTCTGCTGTAATCGCAATAAATCAAACCTCATTTTCCAAATCGGATTCTAAAATAGACCTAAAATGGATTCATTTTTTTTTCCTTCGCGTATAAACGTATCTCGCATAACTCAAAATTGATTAGCCGTAGAATATTGAAATTTGTATATGCTATAACATCTAGTTGAGGGCTTTCTATTTCACTACAATTGAGAGCACCAAATGTATATATAAAATTAATTTCGTGGTCAAGGATATAAGAGAATCCTGATTATCCAATCAAAGCCTATTGTATGGAAAACATGAACCGGGAAAACGTAAAGGTGTACTAAAATTAAAACGAAAGTTCATAAAAGCAACAGTGAAAAGTACATATCAAACATTTAAAAAAACTGATAAAAGGAAAATATAATATTAATCTCTTTTGCTTACCGCTTCAAACAGAACTTGTCAAGGGGAGAGCGTTTGAAACTTTAAACCTGGGACTTTAATGAGTTACGAACACATGGTTCGCTCCTCTGGACCATCTGAGACTTAAAACGGTTTTGAGCAAATTTACGAAATGATAATGAATATTACAGCGAGTCCCAAATGAGTTCAGAGCTTTCCCTACATGCATTCGTACTCTCAGAAAACAAATATCCTGTCCTAAGAATAATAAAAAGGGGCAAATAACTTAAAGATAAATATACTTTAAATCTTAATTAGCTTTATATGAGATAATGATTATATATATATACACCGTCCTTTATTTTCGAAATCGTTTGTCGTAGTCGTGTATTCCCAATTACAGTAGTGTTTTTAATAAAAGAAATATTCATATTTTGGCCATGCCAAAATTCATTTCCGACAAATAGCGAATTATAACTTTGAGGTCTGCTAGTTTCTATACTTATATTTGGGAAAGTTTGATACTCGTTATGAAAACATAAAGCATAACAATTTTAAGTCCCGTATGACAAAAATTGACCGGGATACTTAATTTCAAAACTTCAATTTTCCATGTCATTTCTTACTTCCTTTCAAGGATCGGTTAATTAAGTTAGAATAATTTGAGCAAAAAAATTTAATTGAAGTGCAACAAAAAATATGTACAATTTATTACATCGTACAAGGAATTCGAGTGGCGTCCACTTCCTATTTCTTTATATACATATTATTAAAAATTATTTTTGAACGCCCATTTCAAATTCGTTCGCTTAAATTAGATATGTGTAATGTAGTACTATAATAACTTCACGCAAATTAACAAAAAAAGCAATAAATCAATCACAAATGTATAATTAGTAAATATATCAATAATGAATTATTATTATTTTACAATTTTACAATTATTTTACAATTATTATTATATCACAATTTGGGCTTCAGAAAGCGTTTATTGAGTGTTCGAATAAATAGAAATAGGGAAAAAAAATGTTTGAGAATTTTCCGCATTTCCAAGCAAAACAAGGAAATAAATAATTTATTTTAATCTTGTTACATATTTTTTTATTCGTCTTCAAAACTTTCTTTGGACCCCGTCGTAATTTGAATAATTCATTCTTCAACGCAAAGAATTGAAAGCCATCCTCTTTCCACAGTTGTTTGTTAAATAAAAAATTCAAACTTCGGTTATTTCTGCTTATTTGTTACGTATTAAGATTACACATTCTTAGATGTCTAGTTTTCGTTATAAATATCTTCTATTCAAATGTTTTTTTTTTTTTAACTTAGCTTCCTTAATTTCTGTATAAATTTGTTTTAAATTACGCTCTTTTTTCCAGAAGCATGCATATTTTAAGAGCATTTCTTTGCAAAGCAATGTGAGAAAATGTTATTTTACAATTCTTAAATATATTGAGGAAGAGGATAAATTAAATAAAATATAATAATAAATAAAAAAATATGAAAGTTTTCAGACTTCATATTATGCCCAAATCGATTTTTTAACGTATTGTGTGTTACCTTTATTTATTAAATATCATGTTCTTCGCATTTAAATCATAAAATTCAACACTAATATCGCAAAAAAGAAGAAAATCTGAAAGGTTTTTCAGATTTTAAATTACGTCCAAAGGGGCTTTTTTTTATATTTTGTCTGTTACCTTTTTTATTAAATATCACGCTCTTCGCACTTAAATCATAAAATTCAGTTCAAGAGCAATATCGCAAAATAGTTTTAAATTGAGCTTATCTCTAAAATTTCCGATACAGTTTCTCGCGCGCTGGAGATAAAAATGTTTTTCTGTACAACGTTGCCATTGCTCGGTTTGGAATCCTTGAGTATGTTAATCAAAAATTCGTTAAAGTTTTACAAAATATGAAATCGATAATAAAAGAAATTCCAAATTTCAAATTTGGGCTTCCACATGCCCATATTCGCAGTAGGATTATGTCATTTAAAATTCGATAGCTCTATGTAACGTAGTTTTATCACAATGCGAGAAATATATATACATTTATGCAGATTTTTTATTATTTAATTTCTTCAAATATAATGCAGGACTCTAACATTTGGTGGCAAAAGGTTGAAAAGTGAAACGAACATTTTTAGTGGCTACAGGTGGAAAAGTGAAACGAACATTTATAGTGAACCAACGCAAAATGGCAAAACGGAAACAAATGTCCTTCAGGGACAAAGCGCCTTTGGACTAAAATTTTAAAATGAACATATCTTTAGAATTTCCGATACACAGTCTCGCACTCTGGAGATAATTTTTCCCCCGCCGTAAAGTGTTGCCATTGCTCGCTTTGAAATCATTGAGTTCGTTAATCAAAAATTCGTTAAAGATTTACAAAATATGAAATCGATGAAAAAACAAATTCCAAATTCGGGGTTTCAGATACCCATATTTCGAGGAGAATTACTTTATTCAAAATTGGATGGCTCTAGGTACCGTTGTTTTTTTTTCACAATGCGAGAAACATACATACATTCATGCAGATTCTTCATTATTTAATTTTTTAAACATAATACAGGGCTGTAATATTTGATGGCGTAACCCAGAAAGTGAATCGATGGAAAATCCCGAAACGAAATCAACATTATGAGCTAACGCTCCTTTGGGCTAAAAAACAGTTGTTTCAAATGCGTTTGCTTGAAATGGAAGAGGGGGTATCTTTGTAACTTTTTATCTTTGTACTGCCTTAGTGAGAGCAATACCAGATATTCTGGCTAGCATGCGTCCGCGTTTTTAGGCTACTCTCTCGTAAGCTATTATTACGCACGGCCGTACTTTTGGCCTTTGATAGCTTCGCAGTCAATTAGCGTTAAGAGGCCAACTCTGTTAGAATTTTGATAGCTTCGGCTATATCTCTTTAGTTAAGATTACTTTAGTTTAATTCTTAGTTTCTTAAGTTGAAGCTCGAGTGTCGGCTTTATTGTACAACTCCAAGACGGTATTCTGTTAAATCTTATTTGAATAATAATCTTTTAAACCTTTCCAAGTTTATTCACTTTCTCACGAACTTAAGCGATTATTTGCTTACTAGTTCTTAAGATTCTTCACTTTTAACTGTAACTTAGAAATACACAGTGGGGAATCCTAGAACATAAAATAAAAAGTTTCTTAAATCTCAGCCGTTTCGTTCTTCTGTAACCAACAGAAATCTCATCTAATTCAGCCGCTGTTTCATTTCAGACATCTCAATAAATACCAATGTGTTTGAATGATAATATTTTTAATTCAGATATAATGTTCTATCATATATATGTTTTTGTAACTGTTAAATCTCTCCTTAGCATCGAATCTTTAATTTTTGGATGCATATACTGAAGAAGAGTTTCTTCTTTAAAATAGGTACAAAATGCGAGCAATTCCAGTGTGGCTTCAGCAAGTTTTGTGTTTCGGAAAGTGCCAAATGCAATGGTCTACCAAATTGTGGTCTCGAGGATGAATCAGATGAAGAAGACTGTAAGTATATTCAAAAACGTTAATTAAATTTTAATCAAAAGTAATACACCTTTGAATGAATCATTTAATCTGTTATAAGTACTTTAATAAGCAGTTCCTTTTATTAATAGTGGATGCAATATCCGAAAATGCTGCAGAACAATTTCATATGTTAATATGAACATATGTGTAGTTTTATTATAACCTATTTTAATATATTAATTAATAAAGGAAAATAAGAAACTAGGTTTTTAAGTCTTATGAAATAAATTATAAAACTTTTTAAAAAAGAAATTAATATATTGTAGAGTTGCGCGCCTCCAACCTGCACGCAACCAAGAGGTGACTGTTGAACTGGAATTTAGACAGAGTCTTTAAGTCCCTTTTTATTCAACTTAAGAAATTACAATTGCGTGCTCTTGACGCTCACAAACTACGCCGTCCCGGCGGTAAAATAAAAATAAGAACCTGAAAAGAAATAATAACAAGACTCTAACTACGAGGCTCTCTAAACGTAACTAACCTCACCGCGTTTTACAATACCGCTGCTAATTCAGCAAACTTTGAATATCACGTTGAACGATTAACAATTCTCCGAGGCAAGCACACAGGCCCAAACGCGGGGTTCTTCAATTTCTGGCTAACTACCTCCGCGCTCGTGAAGTAAGAACAGCACCTCGAACTCGTTTCCATTCTATTTAACTCAGAATACTTCCGCTGATAATTTGAATCCTTGCGCGTTCTACTAAAATTTACATACTCTGGCATTGGCAGTTCCAGGGGAAAGTAAGGCTTGACAGGAAAGATAGTTTAAACTTAAAATAAATGTTAGTTAAAATAAATATAAACCCTACAATATGATAAAAGTACAGCTCCAATTAAAATTTATCTTTAATTAAAAAGAAAATCATTTCTATCCCTTATATATAATCGAATGTTGTAAGTATAAGTTAAAACTTACTTTTTCTTACGTGTTTTGGTGGAAAGAAAATTTCACGGATATATTAAGTAATTTTTTTTAATATTAAAATGCCTCGAAGTCCATATAAAATATCGTTACGAATTTTATATAAATGGATAATTTTAGTGAAATTGTATTTTTCTGTATACTGTAACATGGAACACCTATAGAAATGACAGTATACCAGAAAAATACGAATACAGGAGCAAGTTTATTTAATATTGTGTAAATGGCTATCTCACTAATTTGGCGAGATATCGCCAACCTAGCAACGGTATTGGCGACTATTTGGCGACATTTTGAATTGGTGCCTGAATCACTCTAACAGGTATTAATAAATGTAATTGGTCATTACATCAGCTGTATCCGTATTCGTCCCTCATATGCAATCCAGTAATTTCGAGAAGCAAAAAGTACTAGAAATCTCTCGGCGACCGGGTGCAAGCCTGGATAAAGCATCAGTTTATCACTTATTGATGTTGCTGCTAGTAGTTAGTTCAGCATTTGTTTCGGAATACTGCTCTGGGTTATCTTTCTATATGCAATGATAGTAATGTAACTAAAAAGGCATGATCCCGAGGTTAAAAGAATGGTAAGTATTTTGAAAAATAGTTTTCGGGGGGAGTTAAACTGAAGTTTTATTTCAGCTTTCCCCTGGAAATGAATTAGAACCCAAATAAACGGAAATCCAAATGGAATAAAAGTATTTTGATCATACGAATACAGCATATACCGAATGAATACAGACGACAAGTATTTGTTTTCTTGTCATCCTAATGGGATTGCATTTCAACACGTAACTTAGCGTTTTCCAGGAAATATAATAAATATATTTGATATCTAATACCAATATCAATTTCATCAACTCTTAAAATGCTGTATTAATTACATATTGAAATTCAAATGAACAACCAAATAATGAACCCGCTTAACGGGGCACCGGTGCTTTCTAGCTGGAGAAACGATTTTACTCAAAAGTTGAGAAGTACTGAAGCTGGGCTCCGATGAATTCTAGCTAGATTTAAATCTTGTGCACTTAACTAGATGTACGCCATATGAATCCAACTAGTGATTTTGATGTTCGGTTCGTAAAACATAAGAGTTTCAGCTATTATAAAGAAAGAGATGAAGTTTCAGAAGGGTATAAAAGTTTCGTAAAACAAAAAGGTTAGCTTGCTAATTTGTAAACTATTTCCCTCTTTATAAATCTTCACGTACAGCAGTCTTTTTATGTGCTTATAAAATATACAGGGGGACATCAAGACATACAATCGTACAGTTAAATTATTAATGTTTATTTACTACATTAACTTCCCCGGTGATGAATTAGACCACATACAATGTGAGCACCGTTCTCAGAAATAACACCGTGCATTCTTTCTGTGCACAACGTTCTCCATAGCCGTATGTAACATATCACGAGGAATATCCCGCACTGTGTTTGTTATGTTGTCCTTTAGAATAAACAAATTTGATACTCCACCAACATAAACTTAAGATTTCAAATAACCCCAGAGCCAAAAATCGCATGGCGTGGGGTCAGGGGAACGAAGCGTGAGGTCAGGGGATGCATTACATTGTTTCATGTAATACAGCTTCATCAATAACGCACGTTCCGGTAACGTGAGAGGCATGTCCACTGGAGCTCGTTTACTTTAGCTGAGATTATTTGTCGGATCTGTCTACTACTTGCTTTTATAGATCCTGTTACTGGCGCTGTAACATTTGCATTTTTCTTTGATATCCGAGTTTTATGCTAATTATCGTTATTGTAAGCTATAGCAATGCCACAAAATACCCTAGCGACGAGTTTTGGAACTAATGTTTTTCACGGAATCCTTTTTCCCATGTCTTGATTAGTCTAGATACCAAGTTTGGTGCCATTTCGGCTATTAGATCGCGCTACAGGGCGCTCCAAACACTGCCACTTTAAAAAAGATCACCCTGTATAAAGAAAAAATGATTTTCTTCCAAAACTATTAGATCTGTAATAAGAACAAAATCATATCAGGTGAAATTTGATACCAATTTAAGTTTATATGATTTGGTTTCAAGTTTATATTGCCTGTCTATAATTTCAAGTTTATATTGCCTGTCTATAATTTCAAGTTTATATTGCCTGTCTATAATTTCAAGTTTATATTGCCTGTCTTTCTTTATGTCATATAGGTCGTACTATACATGGCATAGACGTCCACCTGGTGATCGGGCTGGCGTTTGGTGGAGCCATCTTGACTGTCATTACCATGTGCGCCATTTTTCATCGAAAATGCAAGCGCCGGCGGACGCATTTGGCGACTCAACATCACAGAAATCAGCCAAAGATTGCCGCCACTCCGCACATCAGCATTCATGACCATGTCTGAAAACATGATGGCCTCGTCGATTTCCAAACCACCTTCTCGTGCAGCTAAACACAAAGACGAGCCTTTCTCTCTGTCATGCATTCAGAAGCCCAAACAAATATACACAACAATTCAAATAAGATCATTATTTAATATATTGACTTTCTCACATTGCATCGCGCATCTCTGAGGGTCAAAAAGTTTAATTGATCAAGCATCACATATTTCATCGTGCTTGGAGTGACGACATAAGATAAAAAATGACAAATTCATATAATTTGATAAATGTTCGTTTAAAAGTTACACTAAAATATGATTATATGACATATGACTCCTCCCAGATTAGCTGGAGAAGTAATAGCTTAAAATATCCTTGGACCTAGCGTGACGGCTTAGATGCTTGCAAATGTATAGTTTCTTTATGAAGTGAAGGCACTTAAAATGTCGTCTAGTTAAAAGCTTCCTTCAGAGGTTGGTGTTAAGAAAAACAAGAGGTAGAATTTTCATGGATCCGTTCCTGGAGACTTTCTGATGAAAACTGGGCTGGAGCTGGCTAGGCTCTGATTGCCAATTATAAGGTGACAGCTTTGGTTAGTTTTAGCCAATGACAGGTGCTCTCTCTTGTCCTTAGCCATGAGGAATTTGCAAACATGATATGGAGTATATTCATATCAGAAAGATTAGCAAGAACAACGCGCTATATTTTCAGGCTCCCTTTAAATGTCTTAGGTACTATACAAAAGCATTCCGCACGACGTAGTGTGATGGAATTTGAAATTATTAATAGAATATGATTTTAGATATATTTATTTATATGCATTTTAAATAAAATTTAGGTTGATATATATACGTATTTGCCTTCAATGTAAAGTACTAGTTTTAAGCATAAAAGCTCATCACAAGTCAGTTTAAAACTTTGATGAATAAACTTAAATTTATAAAATATTTTGAAAATACGTATAACATCATTACATTGACGTATAACTGACGTAATTTCGGGGGACAAATCATTTATTATTTCTTACTTCAATTAATTTCTAGTATTCTACCAATAAAATAGTACTGGGTCGGATTTTGTGTAGATGTTTCTTTCTTACGCCATCTTATTATTGGATGACGAGTGTTTTTCCTACGAGAATAAACTGTATATCATCAACGGTTGCATTCTTTGTAGATATCAACAACTGTGTGTTTTAAGTTAAATATCATAAGCATTGAAATAATAGCAAATCAAATTTTAATGAAGACTGAATTTCAAAATTAATTAATCATATCAAATCGTAAAAAAATCGATTTGGTATTCATTTCATAGACAGATACTTTGAATTTCAAGAATATTTGAGACAGATTTTCCTGCATTAAGTGCAAAACTCATGTTTATCTCTGGCTTCTAGGAAAACGAAAATCTGTGTCAAATTTTCTCTAAATGCATTAGCTTTTCCCAAATCCTAAATTTTATCTTATGACGAATTTTAATTAAATTAAAATTCGAACTTTGCATATTACTTTTATAAATACTAAATGAATCGCAATTAAATCGAACTGTCATAATACATTTTTAAAATTTAATATCACAAGTCTCACATTTCAAAAAATACTTTATTCATCAGTGAGACAAAACTGTTTAATAAAGCGAAAGGTTTGTAATATTTAATAAAGCGAAAAGTTTGTAATAGCGAAATTGATAGAAATTTGAATAGAATAACCTCATCCTTCGTTCAGAATTTTAGCAGAAGGTTTCTAATATTTAATAAAGCTAAATTCACAAACATTTGAATTTAATAACCTCATATTTCATCCCAAATTCCAGCAGCAGGTTTTTAATATTTAATAAAGCGAAATTAATAGAAATTTGAATTGAATAACTTCATTCTTCGTCCAAAATTACAGCAAAAATTTTTAATATTTAATAAAACGAAACTGATAGACATTTGAATTGAATAACCTCACCCTTCGTCGGAAATTTCATTAGTTTATGCCATTTCACAAGATAGCAAGGATGTTTGTTTAACTGTACTGTGATATTAATACTCTCAGATACTAGAACTAAAATCTTGTTCTTAGACATATATCTTACATAAAAGCTCAAGGCAAACTTTTAGATAATACATTAAAATATTTATTAGCATATTGATATTTTATTTAATCTCAAGGTTCAAGATTATATCCAGAAAAAAATTACATGTAAAATTAAAACTATTAGTTTCACGGCTTCTCAACTTAATAAAAGAATAAAACTTTTAGAATGCATAAAACACATAGCTCGATTCAGTGTCTTCACAAATTCCATGCTACACTTTTGTACTGGTATTATAAAGTGTACTTGAGTTATTTTGTAACAAAAAGACTGAGTACAATGACTTTTCGAAGCATCACTATCGCTCTCAAACTCTCACTTTAAAATCTGAGATCTGTTATCATCATGAAGTAGTTTTTCCACAGCGATAAAATTTTAATGTTAGATGCTGGTGTCTAGAAAATGCATGAGCATCAGCAAAATCAGTTCATTTTTATATACGTACATAATTTTAGATAAGACAGAAATTTGTTTGGGAAAAGTATTTTTGATATTTTGCTAAAGTTTTAAAATGTTTGCGTAGATAAAATGAATTATCAGAGTCCTTCAAAATAGGTATTTTGTATTTAGTGATGAAATACTTAATATTTTTGTTTATATAGACGGTATAATTTCAAAATTAAAACGTGATTTTCAAGTTTCATGCGGTTAAAGGGCAGGAACTGCTGATTTAAAACTTTTGCATCTTGAAAATGAAGATATCATTTAATGATTACGGAGAAGGGCTCATCTTTGTGTAGCTTGTTTTTTGTTCTTGTTACATATAGTGTATTAATCTTTACTTCTTAAAACTGAGAAAAGAAATTAATTTTGCTGTGTAAGAAAATGTACGTCCGCATTGTAAGATATGTCTTTTTAATTTAAAGGTTTGCTTCGGTTAGTTATTTTTGATGTATTTTCATCTATTGTAACTCTGTAGAGTGAAGTAATATGTTCTATACATATGATAATAACGATTTTTCGTTTATTATTGCAAGTACACGAAATTTTGTTTTACATAAAATTGCATACATTTTGATATTAATGGCGATTTTTAAGCACTCCGCACTACATTTAATACCGTATTTCCTTCTGTATTTTCCTCTTTTTTAAATAATTTAAAATTAATTTTCGAAGAATACTGTTACATTAAAAATATAAAACAATGAAAGGTAGTCGCTGATAAAACTACAGAAAGCTATAAAAATATTTTTATTTCCTTATACAAAGTAATGTTATTGTTACCAAAATATTATTATTTCCTTGTACAAAGTAAAGTTATTATTATCAAAATATTATTGTTTCCTTGTACAAAATAATGTTATTATTATCAAAATATTATTATTTCCTTCAGTTTCCTTCAATTTTGTAATTCCAAAACATTTTAAAGAAAATATCCAAAATGAAATCGGGAACATCAAAACCCTTTCCTGAATGAATTTTGATTACTTTTTTGCATGATATCTGCACGTACGTACAGAAAAAAAGGTCTTCATTCCGAAAAAAATTGTAAAAAAGAAATTAAATGGACTTTTTCTTGATGTTCTATACGTAGGAACGCACGTCTATATCTCATATAACTCAAAATCGATTAGCATTAGAACGGTGTAATTTTTTATATGGAACTGCTATCACATCTAGTTGAGCGTCTCCTTTTTTATTGCATTTGGCAGTACTAAACATTTATGCACATATAAAACCACCATTCTCACCGGCTAAGAAGTCTTACTCTGCCTTTCTTTTTTTAGTCGTTGGTACTTCTAGCTGCAGAAGTGTTTAAATGCAACAATATTCATAACTGTGCAATGTCAAATTTAAAAAAAAAATATGTGTGGACTGAATAACGAAATCTGGCTTTTGATGTGGTGTGCCAGTTTCCATAATTATACTTGGAAGGTTTTACATAATTTAAGAAAAAAATAAATTGATGACTCCCATACGACAAAAATTTACCGGGATTTTTAGTTTCTAAATTTGCAATTTTTTATGTCATTTTCAATTTGTATCGAGGAATACGTTAGTTCACTTGAGGGATAAGTCCTGTAACGCAATTCTCGTCCGTTCTTATGGTTGTCTCTGCTACACTTCAGGCCTCAAATCATCCATAATTCGTTAGAGAAGGTAAATGAGCAGACGGCTGAGTGAATTTTCGGATTGAATGTCAGTTCTCATTTGCTTTCATTACTCCGTTTTTGCATTAGACTAGCCGTTAGTTCAACAGTTAGAAGGGAAAGATTCGGCGTGACCTTCCTATCTAATTTTCAAAGATTTGTCTTTACTAATGAAAGGAAAAAAAAAATCACTGCGTAGACTAATCCATTTTAAAACTTCGGTGAACTCTTTCTCTGAAAACATTGACGAAAGTACGCGAATATTTAAAAATTGTTCAGAAAATGGCGCTAAAAACCTAAGGGGAAAAGTACAGAGGAAGTACGGTAATTTACTTTAATATGTAAACAAAAATGTATATCGAGTCACAGATTGTTGTTACTGTTTTGTTTCATTGGTTAATTATCAAAATAACCAAATATTGCATTTTAAGATGAAATATATTCGATTTTCACATACATTTTTGTATCCATGTGTTTCTAAATGGCATGCCCATATCTAAACATAGCACAAAGATTAATAATAACTTTTGTAAAGCATACTGATAATACCAGAAGCAAGAAAAGATTTACAATTTGGCAAAGTTATACAGAATCTCTTCGCACACTTTTTAGACAATTTTAATTGTATTTATAGAAATATTTTACCTAACTTTTTGTGTTCTAAATGCTCTTTTTGATAACCCTCAGTCTTCTTTATTTTCCTACATTGTAACTTCGAAGTCAATAACGCATTTTGTAGTATCAGAAGAGGTCACTTATCCCATTTTTTCTTTAATAAATTTCCGAAGTCCAAGCAGGATTTTAGGCCGACGTTTGGACAAGCAGGTTTTTAAAATTCGAAAAAAGCAAAAATCCGTGAGTAATAGGAGATTTATGAGGGATATTGAGTGAAGGGATACCCGTGTCTTGTTCCATTTTTTTCCAGAAAATTAAAAATTCATTTTGACGTGTGGCTGCTTGCTTCGTCTCGATGCAGTTATGGATAATATGTACAGTTGATCTTAATACTTTTCTCCGCTCTCTATTTTCTTTTTAATTTGGCGTTAAATAATTTAATAGGCCATACAAGGAAATCATGTAATGTCCAAATCAGATATTGTTCTTTAAAGAAATCTACATTCCGATAAGGATACATAATAATATTAACATTAGAGTAAAAAACAAACAACAATCATAATTGAAAAAACAACAACAATCATAAATTCCTTCAAAAAACGTTCTTCAGTTTCTTTGAGCCATATCTTAAGATTATTATCTCCTCTTATATCATAATAAATTAACGGCTTTTTATAGCAGTCACTTAAACACACCCGAGATTCATGACAAATGTTTTCAATTTTTCTCTGGATAAATGTTTCTCATGAAGAATTCTGCAGTGCTCTCTTCGTTTGGCGATATGTCTTGGAGAAAGAACGATGCACGTTAGATTTTTTCGCCTCTTAAGATTCGAATCAGCTTTAAGCACTTTGTTTACAGTTGGCACTAACCATTTTAATGATTTTTCAACTGTCCTTTGACTTAACGGATTTTCTTTTAACATAAAAGATTTTATCTTTGCAACATTCGAAACATTCCGTTTCTTCCTTGGACATGTATTTGGAGCAATTTTTCCACTTGAAACGAAACTTGGACTTTTTTTTTTCATTTCTTGTTGACGATATTACCTGTCATAGCTTAGATATTGAGACAATATGGCTTTCGCAGCGTTTTTAATAAGAAGACACGAATAATTTTCTTCTGAAAGACCACAAATATAGCCTTCCATCCATTGAGCCTTTAAAAGCGCCATTTTTTGTTAAAAGAAAACTATCAAGTAGAAGACAAAAATTTATACTTTAAAAAAAAATATAGTTGCAGTTAAAACAGATTCCTTGCAGACAACATTTTTATAGCAAAGCAAAATATTCTAAAAGATGTGCGAACAGGCTGTTTAGAATTAAATTTAGGAATTTAATTTTATTATTCAAAAATAAATTGGTGGCATTATTTGTCTCTTCAGAAATTAGCTTCTGATTAAAATTTACACTACCATAAATGCTATATTTGATATATAATTATCAGTGTTTTTAAAGTTATATATTGCATTACCTCATTGAATTCGATTATGCTGTGTTTAGAACATGTTCGTGACACAAATGATAATAACTGAATAACTTTGTTATAATGACAGTAAATTATGTGCGAGAATTTAAGTAAGTAATATGGTACAAAACTCTTTCTGGAATAGAATGAAATGTCAAAAAACTTACTTATTTTTATAGCTCAGATCTATATTTGTTTATTATTGAAGTAGAAAGAACCTGAAGAAATACGTTGAAAAATTTATTCTTGGCACGAAAAGGATTTCACCAGAGTTCAATGACCCAACAAACAAAAGAATGTATCACCGAATTACTTGAAGAAGAGAAAAGAAATGTAAAAGGAAGACACTCGATTAAAAAAATTATTAGTAAAATGAACTGTTCCTTATATAATTGAGTTTTGTAATTTAGAATAATAAAATATTATGAGTTTCTGGGGGGTTATGATCTAATCTACAACGTAATCGAAGGCCGACTTAAGGGCTTTCATTAAATTTCAAAACCGGAGAACAAATGCATGCGTTCTTATGAATATTTCGTTTACATGTATAAATAATTAGTCATAACATACAACAAATTTAATTAACTATATAACCAATTAAGTGAGTAAATGTGCAATCTAAGATTAAGAATCATTTTAAAGTTCATTTTTTGGTGTGACTATTGTTCAGATATTTTAACATGACTTCAAAAAAGTCACTTAGCGAAAAATGTGGATTGTAAATTAAGGAATAAATTTGTCCCTATGTACTTCTTGTCCGAAGTAAGGGAAATACTGCGATTTTTCGGATATCATATTTCAACGAAAATATACATTTTGACCGCCCTCGAATACATTTGAACGGTGTTTTTGCATGACAACTGTATTGACGGACAGAATGAAAGCCAACTTTTCCTAAATGGGTTATGAAAGGGATTCAACATGGGTTCAAAAAGGACTGTTTCGTAAGGTATGCATGTATCTGCCATAACTCAAAACCGATTAATCAAAGAAAGTTGAAATTTTGTACATGGAACTGTTAGAACATCTAGTAATGCACCTCGTTTTTTTTTGTTGCAGTCGGCCGCCCGAAACATATATATACACCCACCCTCATATCTAGCTCGGGGTGAGCTCCGATGATACTTTTATATGTTTCTAAACTGTGCATTTTCTACTTTAAAAGTGATTGAATTATGTTGTTGTTATGTTCCGGTTAAGGTTTTATACCTTTAGTTAATCTGCATGCAATAGTTCTCAGCATTTTAAACGTGTAAGTGACGCTAGACCTAACATGCCGGTTCTTTGTTGACATTTGAAACTCATAGTAATATAGTGAATTAAGTCAGTTAGTACAGCAAATTAAATGTCGTTTTACCCAGCGGTACCCAAAGCTAAGTTTGATTCTTTGTGCATCGAAAAATTGTCTTTCTGCCCGTTGGCCGACTTGCTTGCCGTACAAACTCTAATTTTTATTTTAAAAACTCTTTTTCTTTAAGTGATTTAAACTGTTTTGGTTTTTTAGGTTTTTCTGTATTTTACAATTTTTAATGAATTTTCTTTGAATTTTTATGCCTTTTTTTGCCTTTCCACGAAGTCAAATAGAATTTAATAAATGACAAATCATCTCTAATGAAATTCGAGGAAATAAGTTTAAATGAAGAGGAGCAAGAAAGCTGTATAATTGGTACTTTTCCATTTCGCCGGCGCAAATCTCGCCAAGCAGACTTTATTGGCGACAAAACACAGTATACACAAAAAATATGTTAAGAAATGTTAGTTCTAAGAATTTTGCGTTTTGAAAACATTTTAATATCGTTTAAAATTTTGTAAAAAGCCAATAAATAAAGACAATAAATTTATTAAAAGACATGAATTTAATGCTTTCATGGTACAGCATCCTGATTCGCAGGTTCATATGACGTAACTCTAAGTGATCTCATCTCACGTTAACTACGCTACAAAAATCTAATTCTCCCAGTAATTATCTACATTAATTTCAAGTTAAATCTTAATTTGGAATACAAATTTAAATGCAAAAATTATTTCAATTCTTACGAAAAGCTTACTCAGAAATTATGTAAAACCGCAATTTTTTACTTCGCTAGCGCATTCTCGTTAGATTGGATGGATTTAACCCTTTGCTACATTTTCGCCTTCGGGTGAGCGGTGTGATTGCACCCTAATTGACTTAATTACCGCGAATGATTTTATGGCATAAAATTTAGTTATCTTGTAAAAACTCTATGTAATTGTATGCTAGTATTGAAAGACACTCAAGAAATGTCTGCGACTTGTTTTGAAAATAAGGCGTAAAAGGTTACCAGTGAAGATATTCCGTTTGGCATCAGTTCAGTTGTACCATTATTGGCGACTTTATCGTTTGTGCTGGAAAAATGGAAAAGTATCGTATAATTTAATTGGCTGTACAAGGAAGTCATGCAGTGTTCACTCCAGAATTTTTTCTTCCATTTCGTTTACTCTAATTAATATTTGTGCTATGTCTGAAGTTATTGATTTTTATAAATTATTCAACCAACTATGACAATTAAAAAATAAGTTCCATATATTGTGTATATTTATAATAGGAAAAGACATGGTTTTAGTAAAGCGGTTGATAATTATCTCAAAAAGAAATATCCACATTTCATTTAACTAAATAAACCCAAAATTCGGAACAATTTTTGAAGATTTGGCAAATTTTCTTAATGACTGTGTTGTTTTTCTTCTCAGTTGTTCATTTTTGTACATTAACATTGTGTACATTTTTATATAACATTAAAGCATTTACATCAGATTATGTTACGTGATAGTAATGTATGCATTTGTATTGGAATTTGACAGACTTCTATTCCCTGCATTACTGAAATATTAAAAATACCATTCCTATTGCCGTGTCCGAACGCTCAGAATTTTTAGCTTTATCGTTTACGTGTAAGGCTAAGGTCTTCCATGTTACCTGTAAAAAAATATTTAATAAATACAGGTTTTCAGACCAATTCATTTGACACATTTTATCAGCAACAATGTTATAATATTTCACTATGAAACAACTGATGAAGTTCAAGAGAATGTGCGTTTCCAATGCTTCATTACGAAACTTATTCAGAAAATTTCATGTTATTCTGATAAAGAAGTGCCGTTGCTAAAGCAGGCACTAAGTTTTCTCTTGAAATTCAGTTGTACTTAATTATTTTGATTTTAAACATCATATAACGTTGTTAATTACCATTTAGGAAACATTTGTTTTCACTTTTGCTACATTTTATGCATAAATGTTTAATCCTTTCGCCGTCCTTCCCTGTCCGCGAAAATTCCCCACAGCGGCCGTCTGTTTTTCGTAGCGTGTAATGTTGTTTTCTCTGTACATCATAACTTTCCATACATGACTTTCG